TAGCAACCTCCACTGGTGTCTCCCTCTTCACGGTGTCTCTTCTGGGTACATCGGCCTGCTGAGTCCATTGTGTGTTCGTCGCCCGCTCGGCTGCGGCTTTCGCGTACGAGGGAGCTTCTTCGCTGAAGCGTTGTGAGAGGGCGATGGCGGCCGCTGCGGTGAGAGTGACGCGGTCTGTCTGGTTCTTGACGGCTTTGGCTAACGACGAGGTTTTGTTGTAAGCGTCCCACTGGTTAGAGCGAAGCGCGATGTGCTTCTGTGCGACAGATTTGGAGGCATTGAAGAGCTTGGCGGCGTCGACAAGCCGTCTACCTGCCATTTCGATCGGATGAAAGGGCTACCGGGAGGTGCGACACATGACGAGGGGTGCTGTAGCTCTGCGTAAGCTGCGGAGGCTCTCGTGAGGCCATCGAAAGTTATGCGCGTCATAGCTGGATGGGGTTAGGTTGTAGTGCGGAAATGGCGCGATTGGCTGGCCATCATGGCCGACAAGGGTCTTGATCGTCTAGTGGGGCAGCCAGCTGCATCTATACCCTCAACAGCACGACATTTGATTTACTATACTCGCCTCACGCGTCCTTAAAATCCTACCGTCCATATTGGTCACCGGGCTCGGTCCCATTTTACTCTTGGTACCCAATCAGACTTCGTAGCCATCCGTCACGACAAATCAACCAGTGCTTGGTGCCTGAGTAGCGTCAGTCGGTACTTCCCAGCCGCACGGGAAGATAGCAACTATTCGGCCTATCAGTCTTGACTGATTCAGGCACAAGATACAAGTGTTCTCTTAGCAGCTTGCTGAAAATCCCAAGACAGCCTCAGAATTCCACACCAAAGTCCCGGACGTAACCCAACTGTTCATTCAAGAGAACCGCAAACATGAAAGTCGCCTGTCTCCAATTTGCCCCAGAAGTCGGGCGCGTCCCAGAAAATATCCAAAGAGCAGAACGCATCCTCCAGTCCACCGCCATTCCTCACGACCTAGCCTGGCTCGTCCTCCCCGAACTCGCCTTCTCTGGGTACAACTTCCAATCACTCGAGGAGATCCAACCCTTCCTCGAGCCTACCACATCCGGAATCTCAACCCAATGGGCGCAGAAAGTAGCAAAACACTACAACTGCCACGTCACAGTCGGTTACCCAGAAATCACCACCCCAGCCACCAATCCCGGGGACAGTCAAACGCAGTACAATTCCACCGTCACTGTATCGCCAGATGGAGACATACTAAACAACTACCGGAAATCCTTTCTTTACTACACAGACGAGACATGGGCATCTGAAGGACCGGGCTCGAAGTCGCATAAACTATCCAATCCCTCATCGCCAGATTCTCCCTTCTATGCTGGCCAACTCGGTAGCCTGGGGAAGGTTACCATGGGGATATGTATGGATATAAATCCTTACAAGTTTGTCTCTCCATGGGCCGATTACGAGTTCTCCACTCTCGCTCTAACATCACAATCTCCGATTGTTTGCATAAGCATGGCTTGGCTATGTCACCTTACGCCCACGGAACTTGTACAGGAGCCATCGCAGCCGGATATAGCGACGGTAGCGTACTGGGTCGAGCGCTTCCAACCGCTTGTTGAGGCCAAGGGGGATAAACCCGTCTATATCATCATGGCGAATCGGTGTGGAATGGAAAAGGGCGTCTGTTACGCAGGCAGTAGTACGGTGATACGGATCGAGAAGGGTGTTGTCAGTCTATACGAGACAGCGGGCAAGAGCGAGGAGACTTGTTTGATCGTGGATCTGACCCAGCGACCCAAGTTCCAGGTGAGGAGTGGGAGGTGATGGGTCAGAGAGCGTTGTCATGAGGGCTTCACCTCAGTCAAGGGAAACCTTAGACACTCTGAAGCCTATATTGACCGCGAATCTTCTGATTCGCTTGTCTCTATTACAGTGTAGTCTGCAGACCTGTTTGAGGGTTTCCTTGTCTGAGGTGACTTGCTTTCTGAGGCATGTTCGCTAATGTGGCCATTCGTAGGCCGATCGGACGTACAAGAAAGACCGCCTTTGGCTGATACTGAGACGTCTACCATTGCAGCGGCAATTGTTGCCGGCCGCTCCGAGGGAACCTTACGCGCAGAGGTGATCGTCGGAAAACGGTTTTTCAAGAAAGTCACCTCAATCAACGAGACAACTGAACATCCTGGAGCCTACATGGACGTCTGATTTTCTGATTTGCCAGTGTTGTCCTAGTGTAGTCTGCAGACCTGTTCAGGTCTTTTCTTGTGTGAGGTGGCGTTGGCAAAAGGCTAGGCAATGGGGCTGAATCAATACCGCGGGGGTCATCGTGGATTACAAATGATGCAGTGCATTCAATATACTTTATAAGAGCGCCGTAATGTGTAGTCTTCTCGGGCTGGACGTGGTGATGAGTCAGAAATGGAGTTTAGTGCCAACCCGTGTTATGAGTGCGAGTGTCCAGTATATGACGAGAACGACGCTCGTCACATATGACGCATCTGGGATCATGTTGCGCGCAGTACATCACGATCATCAGCACACCAGAAGTCATTCATTGTGACCCAGCAAGTGTTTCCATTTAACACTGCTCAGATCTAAACCATCATGAATCGATTCCTTTCATTCCCATTTACAGACCCAAAGCGCCATGAATGAGAGGTAGGTAGGTATCCGGTAACGTGAAAAGAACACCACCCATAGCATCCCTCGTTTGCAGACGTCCTTCGCTTAGAAGACTGGTCGCTCGCTTCCCGCCATGTGCGAAATTCCCAATGTAGTCGCTCGTTTCGTGTGAGGTAGGTTGTCGGTGCAGGAACAAGGAGTAGTTGGGAATCGAGAATCGAGTGAGGGATGGTTCGTCGGGGGCGATACGCTTAGATACCGAGACGAGTCTTGCGCCAGTGTCGGCGCTTGGCGTTGTACCTGTGGGTGGAATGTCAGTCTCGTGCTCTCATCATCATATTATCGTGTCCTTGTAATCTCTGGTGACGGAGATCGAAAGCGGCGAGAGCGTGCGAATCGTGGGTAGAGCGTACCTGATGGTGTTGCCGGTCCTCAGGCGAATCCACTGGGGGATGGGGCGGTTCTGCTTCTGCGCCTTTGCAAGCTTCTGCTTGGTGCGGAAGGACTTTTGGGACTGCGAAAGTGTCAATATGTGGTCCTACAGTGCGTCGCAACGGCGGGCGGTGATATCATACCGGCATCTTGACTGCTTGTTGTGAGTAGTCGGATGTCGAAAGGTGTTGTCGATGTCGGAAAAAAGCCAGGAATATTGATCGATGTTGGTGCGCTTGGCGGGCGGCAAGCAGAAACTGCTAGACCGTGTTGGGCGCGCTAGCGGGGCTTTAGCGTCATTGCCGTCTCAAACGCGCAGGTGCGCTGACCTGCAACATTGACATTTCGCTGCTCCAGATCCTTAAAGTGCGCAGAAGGGCTGAAGCCTCAAGCGAAATATCTAGTCTTGTATCAAGAACAGTGTCCTACGCTGTGCTTCGCGGGGTGTCTCTGACTTCGCAGTTCGGCTCGCGACGTGACTGCGCTGAACTGACATGCATAGCCAACATTGCGCAAAATCGCAGAGCGCCATACCGAACTGCATCATGGCATCTGATGCATCTTTTGGCCTATCAGCCAAGTTTTGATTAGTAGGATCGGTTTAGCATCCAATTATGCGACTCTACTACAGTTGACCACGCCTCCCCCGCTTTTCACATGACTTCTTAGGAAAAAGAATGGTGCACTGAGACGGTCATCTTAAGAGTCGGGATTGTATCTGCTATTATTGCTGAGTTTGTCAATTCGAACACCACCTCAAAAGTCGAGCTGAGCAATTGACACCTTGCAACCAGACGTCCTATCATAATACTAGCTTCAAGAACACTCCATCAACTTGGTCGCATAATCTCGTATCGCAAATATGGAACCGAAAGGTGTGAAAGGTACGAGAGCTGCTCCCATCACCGTATACTTCCAGGCAATGTCGTTAAGAGAGAGTAGAGAATGCAGCATTACAAGACACCCATGCAACAGCAGCTGGCACCCTACTTAAACTTCCAAACCAAAACACCGCCTCGGAATCATCTTCTCCTCCTCCCCAAACAACAGCCACTCGTCGCCTCCGCGCGGTCAAAGCACACCTCGCCCCTCCTAAACGCTATGCAGTCTACGCAAAAGACCCTAAGAACATAGCCCAAGTGGCCGCCACGCGAGCGTGGCTCGACACCATCGTGTACGACACTTTCGCGATACGAGAATTTTACAGCTGGTATTGGGGTGATGAGGGTATACCGAAAGAAGAGATCGAAAAGGCCGATGCTGAAGGTAGATTGGAGCAATGGTTTGATGAGGCTGAGGTTGTATCTATGTGGTCGGGGTGTATGCTCGACGAGGAAGGGGCGAGGTTGGTGGCGGAGAAGACAGAGTGGATTTCAGTGATTGACGGGAGAAGGTATCACATCTCTGATATGTGATGATGTGGAATGAGGTTTTCAAGAGGAGAATTTGTTGACACTAATACTGTGGCAAGGTGGAGATACATGCTTGTTTCAACATATCACTACATTATTCCAATGTATGTGGAAGAGGAGCTGGATGTTCTTAACATGGTCGGTGAATTCCATCACTCCAAATCTCCGGAAAGCCCAGAAAAGACTGCTCTTACGCGATAGTCCGCGCATGGTGTCCTTGCAGCATCGAATACTAAAGAGAACCGGGTGCTGGACTACTTCATGAGGATATAGCAAACGAGGGATTCCAGCTGTGGCAGATGAGCATGAGCCACTGCCCAACGAAAGCTCGGTCGACTCGTGTCGCGCAGTGATTCATGAACCTTCTGGGGAAAACATTGAGGGTGCTGTTCTAGGAGCATTGCGGTGAATTCACTCACTAGCGTGGCGCTATAACATAGGCAACTTTCTAGTCGCTATTTTTATAGTCACCTTCACCTACTGGCATTCTATCCACACCGTAGACAACTCGTTTCGACTTTGGATCACACAGTGGCTCTTGGTCACCACTTTGTCGCCGTAATGGCTCGCAACTTTTTGTAAGCCAATCGACATGATATCTACAACAAGTTTAACAAGTATCCCAGAACCATGGATCTCGACACAGTCACCGTGCGCGTCGGCGAAGCAGACACAGCAGTCGACATCACCGTCTACCGCGATATCTTGTCGGCTGTCTCGCCTTACTTTCGCAGCGCTTTCGATGGCCCCTTCGTGGAGGCTACCGATCGCTCCATATGCCTGACAGACGTCACCAATGAGACGTTCCGCATGTTTCTACAATGGGCACATAGCCAAAAATGTCAGCTGTCAAACGGCGCTGCTTTCCCACAACATGCAATACTTGTCCAAAAACCAACAAGGAAGAATGTGGAACAAACTACCCCAGGCTCTGCAGAGCTGCAGCTTCCGCATCGCACGAGCAGCAGCCCAGATGCGAAGACTCTACCAGACACCACAGTAGCACTCGACGAGCTCGACGAGCACGATGGCCTCAGATCACTGTACCATACAGACCCGGAATGGATCAACGGATACCGCCTGTCGCTGCTTTCTTTCCTGCGTCTCTACGTCTTTGCCGACAAGTACAATGTCCCCCAGCTACGAGACGACGTTTTGACTGCCATGATCGCACAGTCAAATGCTTGGAATTGGTGGCCTGATATTGATCGAGAACTGTTAGACTCTGCACACGAAAATCTACCACCGTCATCCAAGTTCATTCGCCTCTTCGTTCTGTCCACAGCCTACTGTTGGCTCCTGCAGCCTGAGACCTGCAGTGCTACTAGGATACGTACGATGATGGAGATGAATGAAGAGTTTGCGTTTGATGTCATCGTTGTGCAAAACCAGATGCTGAAGGATAAAATCTCGTCGGAGGGTATGCCGCTTTGGTTAGAAGATGCTGTGCCCAATTCTTGCGTCTTGCACGAGCACCGGGTTCAAGATGCAGAAAAATGTCGAAAGCGCATCCGCGACCAATCGCAAATCTTCACCGGACTCATCGAGATGTGCGCGCAAGATGTCTTAGGAATTACGAAAGAGTCTGGCGAGGAATAGGCGGGGAAGGCATCCATGGGGATCACACTGAAGGATACGAAGAAATGACCAAGACATTCGTGTCAAGGGTTCAAAATTTGGCGCCGACCTCTGAAGATGATAGACAGCCAAGACAGGAGTTTGAGACCTGGAACGACGCTACTGTACCGGCGTGGGGATGAGTACATTACTTGAGACTGCCGGTCAGTGTGGGTCCCCAGCAAAAAACGGGCACAGAACGGCCAGAAAGCACAACTTCATAGAGCAGGGTCCAACGGGAGATTCCAGCTGGCAAGCGAATGAAAGAAATGTTGCAGAGGGGCTCAATGTGACTGCGTGAAACATAAGACACGAAACTATAGTCGAAATCTTGCAGCGATGTCTCGGCTGTTCGACCCCAGATTGCTAGTGTGGCGCTATGGCCACAGCTAAAGTGGATGCAAGCGCAAGGATTCTGGGCCTCAGAAATGTCGATCCCGTCTCCGAACCAGGACCCTCTTGTTTCGGCGAACCTACTCGTCGCATTCGCGCACGCGTCGGCGGTACCACGGTTGGTCATGTCTCTTGGGCGTTGACACCGGCTGAAGTGCTTCACGGCATCTTCTTTTTAACTCTTCGCATCGCCTCGCTTTTCATCTCAAGTCTGTTTGGCCGGCGCGCGCATTTACCCGTCCAAGTCTTTTCCCGTAGTCAATCGCGGTGCGCCATAGCGATAAGAGAACGAGACCAGGTTGGCTCATTGTCTTTGTCGCGTAGACGCGCAGCAAATTGATTCGAAGAAATTGGCCCTCTAATCACGCCTCTCCAGCGACTGCATTCCAATCGCAGCCATGACAGACTATGGCTCCACACCACCGCCCAAGTCGCCCTCTCCGGTGACAGTCCCACGCTCCTCGAGCCTCCCGCGCCTGGCCAGCTCTAAGCTCTTCCTCCCGCTGCAGAACGATGCTTCGGCGATATCTACGCGCGGGCACCACCTCCCCTCGCTACTCAACAGCGCACGTCGACCGTCCACTATACGCAGCAGTGAGCGCCGGGGTAGCGACACGGACGATGAAGACCTGGAAGCATACAGAAACGGGCTCGTGATGCCTTACGACCGCGACTCTGATCGGAGGAGCAGCATAGGCGCGCATGTGCTCAACACGCCGCAGATGAGGAGCCAGCGGCTGATTGGCAACTCCAATCCCCGGTACAAGTGGGAGAAGTACTACAAGTCCGAGGAAGAGCTCAAGGGCATGAAGAAGCCGATCCGCGAATACTACGAGCGCAACAACCAGCTCCTGCAGCACTACCTATATATCGACCGTCTACTCGACTCCTCCCTCCCGCACAACCTCATCCAAGAGTACACGAACATGGAATCCGGCGCCGTCAAGATTCCCTCAACCATTCGAGAAGAGTCTTCGGCCTCGACTTCTCCCCTCGCTGTTACCCCCGCTGGTACAAATGGCACCAACACGCCCGGTTACTATAGTGAGAACGGGCGAAGTGGTTCATCAGGCAGTCTCAACGGCAATGGCGCGCAAAAGCCCATGGTAAAGCGCACACCGAAGAACCTCTACAAAGTCCCCGAAGCAGACGAGAACACGCCTCTTCTCGCACACGACGAGGCCGTAGAAGACGAAGAAGACCTAGAGGTCGCAAACTCCAAGTTGAAGGACTGGGTCCCGGAAGAAGACGAAGACACCGAGAGCCCCATTGTCAAGCTTGCACTATACGTCAACCTCAGCGCAAATACGGCCCTCTTGATCATGAAGATTGTCGTCACAGTCCTCACTTCGTCCCTCTCCGTAGTCGCCAGTTTGGTCGACGCAGCCCTCGACTTCCTCTCCACGGCCATCGTGTGGTTCACATCCTGGATGATAGCGCGTCAAGACCGCTACGCCTACCCAGTTGGCCGCCGCCGTCTCGAACCCATCGGCGTACTCATCTTCTCCGTCATCATGATGACATCCTTCTTCCAAGTCGGCATCGAGGGCATTTCCCGCCTGACAGGACCCGACCGCACAATCGTGCAATTGACCATTCCCGCCGTGGCCATCATGGCCGCTACAGTCGTCATCAAAGGCCTCTGCTGGCTATGGTGCCGTCTCATCCGCAACTCGTCCGTCCAAGCACTAGCCCAAGACGCCATGACCGACGTCGTCTTCAACACCTTCTCCATCCTGTTCCCCCTTGTAGGCTACTTCGCCAAGATTTGGTGGCTCGACTCGCTCGGCGGTATTCTACTCTCCGCTTATGTTATCATCAACTGGAGTGCGACCTCTGCGGAGCACATTCGCAACCTGACTGGCGCTAGTGCCACGGCAGATGAGCGCAACATCCTCCTTTACATGACGATGCGCTTTGCAAAATCCATCAAGAGGATTCAGGGTCTGCAGGCTTACCACGCGGGTGACAAGCTGAATGTCGAGGTGGATATTGTGGTTGATGAGAATCTCAGTTTGAGGGACAGCCATGACTTGGGTGAGAGTCTGCAGTATGTGCTTGGTAAGTCATTCTTCTCTGTCTTTTCACGGAGTTGTAAACTGACAGATTCACAGAGAGTGTACCGTACGTTGATCGCGCGTTTGTACATATCGATTATACGGATTACAACTTCCCGACACACATGTCGCAGCAGGAGTGAGCGGAAGATGCGCCTGGCATCTGAGTTGGCTGTACATATAGCATCGGAGACAAAAAGATCGTAGAAACAAAAACACCCCGAAAGCCTACATAGAGCAAAAAAGAATCAATCGACAGAAAGAGGTACCCATGTCGCTGCCACGACCACACATGCACTCACCAAGTGCAACCAACCAGCCGTCTCCTTTTCCTCTTCCTCCCATCCTCCTTGGTCAGACTGTTCTCACACAACTCATCCGACAGAGGATCTATGATACTCGTTAGCAAAAAGTCAAAGCGCACAGCCACTCCGGAATCTTAGACTTACCATGGTTTTCCAGATCTCCGGCGCAACCAATCTGCTGCTCGCCCTTGAACAGCGCCCCGGGACTCTGCCCATCATTCCTGTAGACATATTCCTCGCCAAAGAGATTCAGCGTCCACTCTCCCGCCGGCCACGTCGGATGCTCGAATAGATTCTCATCAGTCGTCGCGTCTTGATCGTCTTGGTGGAAGTCGTTGAGTGGAGAGGTGCACAGGCTGTCGGGTTCATGGTTGTCGTCGTCGCGGCGGTAGAAGAAGTATCGGTTCTGGTATTTGAACTTGCAGCTTTCGTGTGGAGGGAAGTCGGGGTTAGAGATGACGCTGGAGCATTCTGGGGTCGTGATTTGTTCGAGGCCGACGGTGAAGGTGCGCTTTGGTGCTTGAGGGGGTGGGCTGGGCGACTGGTTGTTGGAGACGCTGTCGTGGGCTGCTTTGTCGGCGCCATTCCAGATCTGTTTGGATTGTCAGCTTCCTTACTAACTTCGGGGTGTGTTGCCGTCGTTCTTACCATGTTGACTTGCTTGTCAGTATCTTTGGCACGCTCCCAGCTCGACTCAGGCGTGGTAATCCATCTCTTGATTTCTTTCACTCGGTCGGGTCCTTGCTTGCTCTGGTCCCAGGATTCGTAGTTCATGTGTGTAGCAATAATGCCTGCCACTGCCGGTGCAGCGAACGACGTACCCGAATCCTGCGTTGCTGCACCGTCATATTGATCGTGGACGTCGACATCCACTCCAACACCGTAGATAGTCAGCTGTGTGCGCTTCTCTGGATCTTGCTGGGTACCCAGGCCTTGTGAGAAAGGTGCCGCTTTGCCTGCAAGCGTGGCAGCCCCGACGTTGATAATGGGAAAGTCATCTGTCTCCAAGACCTGGGGGAAATGGTCGATGACTTTTCGGCCTTCAGTTTCGGCTTCATTACCAGAAGCGAGCACCACGGGGACCCCGTAACTGAATAACTGCTTTATCCAGAGAATCTGTCGCTTTGCTCTGTAATCGTTCTCTGCTTCTTCTCGTGTGTAGCCCTTGTGACCATTGTCTCCGACGGCGCGTTCTGTGCCGCTGCTCATAACGACAACCTGAAAGTCACGCGACGTTAGTATACTCAATAAGCTTGGTCCATAACAGTAAACATGCGTCGATGGCGTCGGTTGTTGGGCGCACTTACAGCTTGGAACCCTGGTATTTTCCTGCGCCGTCTGATCACATCTCCAACAATCTTTTCGAACCCGTTGTCAATGTCGTCTCCGCCCGGTTTGACCTGCCCCGGCACCAGTGTCGCTCCCTTTGCGGTTCCCCACTGCCCAACGATTTTGGACGCTACTTTCGTTCCGTGGCCTTTGGGGGAATGGTCGCATCGAATGTTGTGCGCAGCATTTTGGTTGGTGAAAGCTCTTGTTTCTACGATACCGCTATTGTCCTGCTCGTCGTCGAATCCTGGAAACACTTTTTCGCCGGTTTCCTGGAGTCGGGTTAGAGCGATGTCACCAACGTATGTGAGGTAAGTCATTACCTTTTTGACATCCACCTGTACTCCATCATCCAAAACATACACATGTACTCCCTCTCCAGCTCTCTTCTCGTAAACGTAGTCCGTGCTGTTTGTAATAGATTATTTCCGGCCTTTTTAGGGCTTCAAGTACCAAGTACCGTAGTAGGTACTTATAATTCGTCCAAATTGCTTCCCCTTGGGTTGACATGTTAGCCCAGTCAAGATACAGCATTCAGACCTTTACTTACTCGTAACAGCTGGCTTGGACCAAGTCCCGCGCTGCACCCTCCTGCTTCTGCCAATCTCCCCATTCGAATTTCCGAGCTTCCAGAGTTCCCGGGGTCTTGATACCCATTCTGGGGACAGCAATCATCTTCACTTCGTGGTATTGACTCGGATCCTCGACATGCTCCACCCATTCCTTCTTGGCCACCACCTCGTCGTACCCTGACTGGTCTAGTATAACGCCTCCCCACGCGTGAACTACTTCGTAATTGTCAAGCTCGGCGTCGAGCCTGCCCTCGTCGTACAATCTGTCGAGTTCGTCTTCTGGTATGTCTTCGGGCTCATCCCAGGGAAACCTCTTCTCCTCGCGCATCTTAGACTTGTCCTTGGTCAAACCTTCAAGCCAAACCCGAGTTTCGTTGACTTGGGCCTCGTTCCTGATGTCGGCTGCGTAGACGGTATATGTCTTTGTCGGGAGTGCACGTGCGTTCATGTCCGAAGTGTGTAGGTTAGCTTCAATAGCCTCTATCCTGCAGGGGTAAAGGTACAAAGTAAGCATATGTCTCCCATGCACTTTGTACAGCCATGACTTACCATTCCGTTTTGGCTGCGACCTTCTCGTATCCAGCCTGGTCCAAGACCACGCCTGACCAGCAACGCACCACTTCGTAATTGTCGAACTCCTCTTCTAACCTGCCTTCATCGGCCAGCCTGTCCCACTACAGAGGGGAAACCTGAAGTCAGCATTCATATCCCATGTGTTTCGAACATGCACAGCTCACCTCTTCTCTAGGGAAATCTTCGATGGTGTCCCAGGTCCATCCCAGCTCGTCACGCATCCTGTCCTTGTCTTTGACAAGGCTCTTGAGCCAAGTGCGCGTCTCATTGACCTGGGCTTCGTTGTGGACGTCGCTTGCGTAGACCGTATAAACTCGGGTCTCAGACGAAGCATCTTGCTGCACTTCAACGGTGGTGGATCCAAGTGGGACGTCTCTCGGCTCGGAAGTCACAGCTTGTTGATCGACTGGCGGGTTTACATCCTTCTGTGATGCTCCTTCGCTCTTGATTGGCTCCAGGGATTCTGCGGCGTTACGGTTAGCAGACAACATCGACGACGTCAGCCGAGCGAAAAGAAGCACTGCTAAGTGGAGCCTCATGGCTGTAACAAGGAGCTTGGAAAGCGGTACGAGATGACTGTTAATCAGCTAAGCAATAGGATGAAGAACGAGACAGCCTTGAAGATGTTGGGATCCAAACTGGCTTCCGAATGCATCCCCTTATACCCAACGTCTTTCTCAATACGTATACTGATCCGCGCGCGTCTTCGGAGGCACTCAAAATGAGACCGCCCCCTCTTTGGCACAGAAACAAGACTGCGTAATCTGACCCGCGTCAAGGAATAACCTCGACTCGAACCCGAAGGCACAGTCACCCAAGGTGATGGAGGCGTAGCATGCCGGGGCGGTTTTGTCCTGGATACAGGAACGACTGCATAATCCGATCCAAGTAAGGTGCAGACTCAAGTCAATCTCAAAGGCGCAGTCACCCAAACTGATGGCGGCGTAGCCCGGTGGGATGGAGTCGTTCTGAGCGCATGCATAATAGGGTCCAAGTAAAGCGCAGACTGGGCTCAACACCAGCGGCACAGTAACCCAAGCTGACAGCGGCGTAGCACCTCTCGGTGCGCAACCACAATCCAGCCCCCCACTGCGTCGAAGACTGTAGCAGACGAATGCACCTCCGGAAAATGACAGAAGAAAGACGTACCATTCTGATCCTTCTCCATCGTCACATCCAATCACGATGCCAATCGATATGCAAGCGCGACTCACTCCGATGCGCGCTGCTGAACTCGGCGATCTCGATCTCGTTGTTGAAGAGGAAGACGGGAGATCCAGATTGTGGAATGGGGCGGTTGCAGTGAAGCAGGAAGAAACCCCATTTCGAAACGCTATTGGAAGTGAGTGCCCAGATGGCACGGTAGGCATCATGTGATATCCAGATTAGCAGTCGCGTCCGCGAATCGACGTCATCTGACAGCGGGGCACAGTCCTGGAGGGCAACAGCGACCCGACACCCTTTTGACTGCAAAATTGAATTTCCACATAAGAGAGGATGCGCTTTGGACTCAGAATCGGACCTGATCTGGTTCGGAATGGTTTTTGGGGTTGTACCTCGGTATGCGGGATGATTGCGATTGACTTGGTAGACCGTCTGTTGACCATCACCATTTGAAACAAGTTTGAAGACTTAGCTATCGCATCTGAGGATTCCAACGCCGCCCAATGCCATATATTACAAACCTACACTCCACCACTGCCACCTACCCATCACAACCCCTCAACACTTACCCCCTGCGCCACACCCCTATACTTCTCCTTCCTCGCCTCAATCTCCTCCTTCATCCGCGCCTGTCGCTCTTCCTTACCCACGCCCCTCACATACTGCAATAACCTCAACGCACCCGTCGGTGTAACACCTTCCACTCGTCTCGCCATGCCCACGCTCTCCGGCCGCGCTACCTCCAAAGCCCTCTTTTCTTCGAAGCTAAGCCCGAAGATGGATTCGTAGTCAAGGTCAACTGGTAGCTTGAGATTCTCGTCTTTGAGCCACCGGGCTTGTGTGGCGGTTTGGGAAGCGACGTAAGGGGCGTAGGTGGCTTCGATGTGGACGCGGTCTTGGATGCGTTGTGAGAAGCCTTTTATTTCGGGGAGGAGTGTGGTGAGGCTGGATGGGGTGGTATTGGGGAGGCGGAGGAGGTCGTATGCGGATCGTTTTGTGCTGTCGTTTCTTACGGGGAAACCTTCTTTGTTCCAGTCTGTCCAGCCCATGGTTTTGGATTGGAGGATTTGAGCTAGAGCGGCCATTTGCTCGCCCTCATCTTCGAAGGCTTTCCATCGTAGATCGCCAACTACGCCGGCGGCGCGGCCCATCGCGGTGAGACGAGTGTCGGCGTTGTCGGCACGGGCGGACATGCGGTATTCGGAGCGGGAGGTGAACATTCGGTATGGTTCAGACACACCCTTGGTGATGAGGTCGTCGATCATGATACCGATGTATCCATCCGCTCTCGTCAGGACCATGGCTTCTTTCCCTAGACTCTTCAATCCAGCGTTGATGCCAGCGATGACACCCTGACCTGCTGCTTCTTCGTAGCCAGTTGTTCCGTTGATTTGGCCTGCTAGGAAGAGTCCCGAGATGTTCTTCGTCTCAAGCGTAGAGCGAAGATGTCGTGGGTCGACGTAGTCGTATTCTACGCCATAGCCAGGTTGCAGCATCTTCACGTTCTCAAGCCCCTTGATAGTCTTGAGCATGGTGTTTTGTACGTCCGCGGGCACTGTACAGGAGATTCCGTTCGGGTATATTATGTCGCTATCGAAACCTTCCGGCTCCAGCCAGACGATATGTGATGTCTTGTCTGCGAACCGTATCACTTTCGATTCTAGTGATGGGCAGTACCGCGGCCCTTTGACGGTTTCGCGGATGTGTATTGACTTTTCGAGGTTGTTTCGTATTACGTCGTGCGTCGCTTCGTTTGTTCGTGTCTCGTGATTAAGTAATTGGTTCTCGACCTGAACGCGCTCGTTCAGGTAGCTGAAAGGCATGGGCGGGTTATCGCCCTCCTGCGCTTCCAAAACTTTGTAGTCGATCGTCTTTCCGTCCAATCGTGGCGGTGTCCCTGTCTTCAACCTTCCCATCGTGAATCCGGCATCCTTCAAACTTTTGCTCAGTCCAAAGGTCGCAGCTTCACCCATGCGCCCGGATGGAAACGACTCAAGACCAATATGAATTTCTCCACCAAGAAACGTGCCAGTCGTGATGACCACGTTTCCTGTCGGTATTATGTCCCCACTCTCCAACCTTACACCAGTGATCTTTCCGTATTGGCCCTTGGATCCCTCCTCTTGTGTCCTGTCCACGATGATATCCGCCACGCTACCTTCCACAACGCTCAACCCCTTGTATGCCAGCATTTCATCCTTCATATATCTCTTGTACAACGCTCTGTCGATCTGCGCTCGGGGTCCCCACACAGCAGGTCCCTTCTTCCTGTTCAGCACCCTGAACTGCACACCCGCCTTATCCACAATGCGACCCACGACGCCATCCAGCGCATCGATTTCGCGAAGCATAGTGCCTTTTCCGATACCGCCGAAGGAAGGATTACACGAGCAGACACCGAGGTTGTGGACTGAGGGCGTTATGAGGGCCGTTCGGGCGCCGGAGCGGGCTGCTGCTGCGGAGGCTTCACAGCCTGCATGACCGCCGCCAATGACTATTACATCGTATGGCCTGCATAGGAGTCAGTATTGGTCAATTGGTGGGGTCTGACAGTATAGTGGCGTACCTGTCTGCGCCAGACACTGTCGCAAATGTGCGTGGGCGACGACTGAAGCGATTGACCGACCGTACTCGGGGCGCATGACCCCAGAGTTGACGCGCTGGTAACGGCACGACTCTGTGCATTATGTGAAGTGCTGTGTTGGAGTCCGGATGTTGCGCCACAAAAAGTTGGGATGGGCCAACTCGGAGGTCTTCGTTCGCCGCATCACGTCCGTGCGTAGGTGGGTAGCCTGAAGAGACGCAATAGGTATACCAAGCTGCTCAACTGATGAGTACGTAGTTTGGCTCTTTGCTCCTGCGAGTCATCCCGTAATTGTGTTGTTAGTAGCGGTATGTTCTTGTATAGTGAAGAAAAAGGTATCATTCCGTAAAATTCCAAGCCACGCCACTCCTAGAGTAGAGATCTTACAAAGTGAACTGTGAGCCCATAGTCGTACATTTGAATATCGTAAAGAGAAACTCCACAAGAAGATCCTACAGCGCCGCGCAAAGACGTGTCTCCTCGAAACTTCTCTACCCCGCAGCCAACACTTGCCACTCGGAGCTGTGTCGTGAAAAGACTGCCATCATGGAAACATTAAGGTCGAAGTAAGACGATAGAGTCTTCCAAACCTGCCCATTTAACCAGAAGCTTCCTGAACAAGACCCTCGTCGTTATTCTCCGTGTCCTCAGTACGAGCACGAGACAAGACATCAAAGTTGCCTACACCGGCAAATTAGCATGACCTCTCTCATCCACCCGCATCCGAAAACATACGTGCAACCAAGCTCAGATTGCTCTTCTTGTTGCCTTCGCTGTCAAGGTAGGTCTCCATGCGCGCATCCGCATCCACATAGAGCATCGATCCCTTGGGCACGTTCATCAGGAAATCCTTCTGCGCGCCCTGCACGAAACTCGCAATCCGGAACCAGCTGGTCTTCTTGTCCTCGCCCTTGCCGTAGCTCGTTCCTACCACGTAGCGCACGAGTGTCCTGTCGCCAGAGACGGTGACTTCTTCTGGCGCAACTCCGAGACGGCCGATGACGGTCATGCGCGCGACCTGCGAGGGGCGGGTGGACGAGAAGCTGCGTGCGAAGGTCGAGGTGGGCGCGCGGGCCGCAGCGCGGAAGGTGGAAGAGAACATCGTCGCGGCAGTTTTTGGCGCGGAATTGGTGGGTTGCAGAGGGAGTGGCGGTCGAATTGGCGGTTGTGGGCTGGAGGTTGTCGTGATGCGAGGCGAGTGGGGTTGTTTGCGTTTGCTTATGGGGCGCGACGCGGCTACGCTAGTGTAGCCCTGCCTAGGTAGCTTTGAAGGTACCAAGGTCGGATGATAAGGGGCGCTGACACGTGCGCCCATGGTGCCCAAGTCTTCATCCGCACATCGTGTCTTAGGAGCTTTACCCGTAATCATTGTATGGATTGATTGGTAGCTTGACTAATCCATGGTCTCTGTGCTATTGGGTATATTTCGCTATGATACAAACATCCCTTGTAGGGATCCCAAGTCGGTATGCAGCCCCGGCTCGGCTACCGCTTTGCCTTCTTCTTCTCCCTCTCATCCTCTTCACTATCGTAGTCCTTGTAGATTCCAACCGGTTGAGTCTTCTCCCACGCGCCGGTAAAGACAGCCTTTTCTCCCTCTTTCAGCGCATACTTGAGTAGCGCCTCCCTTGGATCTTCGTCCCTCATATCACTGCCTTCAATCTGCTCCATGACATACTTTTGGTCGGGCGTTGACTTGGCAAAAGGTGTTGTAGCTGGGATATGCGGCCTCCGTGGGTCGCG